TCTCTCTCTCTCTCTCTCTCTCTCTCTCTCTCTCTCTCTCTCTCTCTCGGGAGGAAAAACAAAAACGCATGACACACAAACGGCCCGTCCTCCAACCAGTGGGAGGAGGAGGAGCAGGACGGAGGTGGAGATGGGGCAGGAGCCCAGTCATCCTGCTCCTTGTTCTCCTTCTCCTCCTCTTCCTGCTCCTTCTCCTCCTACCGCTCGTTGTCCCCATCTTTGTTCCACTCCTCCTCCCACCGCTCCTTTCATTTGTTACCATCCTCCTGCTCCTCGTCCTCCCAGGGCTCATCCTCCGCCTCCGCTTTTCGCTCCTTCTGCCTCTTCCTCCCGAGGCCCCTCAATCTCCTCCTCCTCCCGTTCGTCGATCTCCTCTTGCCGTTCGGCATCCTTCACCTCTCCTTCCTCCGGTACACTGTCCTCCTCCTACTTGTTGTTCTGCCCCTCCTTCCGTTCCCCCTTCTACTCATCTTGCTCTGCCTCCTCCTCCTCCCATTCTTCCTCCTTCAAGCCGTCGTCTTTCTCCTCCTCGTCGTGCTCCTCCTCTGGCCGCTCCCATTCGTCGTCCACCTCCTAATGCTCGTCGTCTTTCGCCTCAGAGTCCTCCTCACACTCCTTGTGGTGTCGTCCTGCCCATCCTCCACCCTCCCCTCCTCCCCTCCTCATCCCGCGCCTCCTCCTCCCTCTCCTCCTCCTCACTCTCCACCTCGCGTTCAGTGAGCTTCACTCCACCAGTCACCAAATGTGGAAAATGCGAATGTATCTTCCGCTGGACAATAGACACACGACCATATTTTTTGTCTTCCCTGGATGCGGTGAGTTCTTCCTCCTACTCGTCTTCCCTCTCCTCATCCCGCTCCCCCTCCTGCCACTCTTTGTTCCGTTCATCGTTCACCGCCTCTAATCGAACATTGATTCTCCGCTCCTTTAATCGTTCTTCTGTAATTATTTTGATTTTAAGTTGATGATATTGACTGATAGCCACCAGCTTATCGTCTTTACCCAGGTTGTCTTCATCTCTGAAGCTAGTCTGAAATCTTCCATCGCTCTGACTAATGCTGCAGCCATAGATGAATTCGAGGCTTGAATCAATACTGTCAAGTCATCTGCAAACATGACTACTGTGGGAAATGATGTGGGGAGCCAACATTCATTTCCGGCAGTCTTCAGATGGACGGGTATTTGTGCAAGTAAAAGGCAATTGCTTCCATTACGAAGACACTAATGATTAATAGGTGGTGTCATTTTCAGAGAATTTTTCATTGAAACTGCCATATTTCCCTGAATTCTTTTTCTTTTTTTTGTGTGATATGGAAGTGCTTTAGGGTATATCTGTATTCTCTTCATAGTGTTCTCCTGGAATTCTTGAGTCAGAAGAAGATGGTTGCTTAGTTTGTGGAAGCTCCTTCCCTTCTGTATGTATTTGTCAAAAGTTCGAGAAGGAGATTATGCGAAGGAGGATGGTGATGGCAAGAGGAGGAGGAAGATGACACTGGTCCAATCTTTACTTTTCTTCTTCTTCTTCTTCTTCTTCTTCTTCTTCTTCTTCTTCTTCTTCTTCTTCTTCTTCTTCTTCCTCCTTTGTCTCATTGGATCTCTTCTTGAGTTGCGATGAATGGCACGGTCTCAAATTGCAGTTTTGCATTATGCAATTACTCAATAGGTCTGACACTATGGCCGACCCCTGTAGTAGTTATGACACCCGGCCTGACACCACGGCCGTTGGTATTTTCATTTCTTTTTGGAACTTGGCGCCTGTTTTCTTTGCCGGCGCGTGTTTTTTTTCTTCGCTCATTCGATACTTAAATTTAAAGTGACATCAATGTACTTGCCCCAAGTTTTTTTTTTCCTTTGAGAAAAAGAGGGGACTTGAACCACGAGTACATCCGGAAAAGCAGATTGAGCCTCTCCTCAAAAATCGAAGGCCATGAACTGCCGATTCAATTTATTGACGGTCCATGGCCTCCAACCTTTAACGAGAGGCTCAATCTGCTCTTTCGGATGTACTGGTGGTCGAGGAAAAGGTTGAGGTAAATGGAGTTTATACGACCAGGCCAGTGATCTCAGGTCTGCAGAGATTGGAGGTTTCGTGGAATCAGTGAATCACAGAATTCATAGTACCTGGCCCAAGTAAGGAAGCTCCACAAGATCATCTGCATCTGGAAACAGCTCTGTCTCAGCGTCCTGGTTGCTCTTGTCCCTGCCCGGCAACTCTTGCCTTCTGTACCAGTCATCAATTTCAGCTCTTAAYTTGTCCKTCACTTGAGGGTGCTTGTCCAGGAGATAAACCGCATTGGTCAAGCTAGTTGCTGTGGTATCAGTGCCTGCTACGAGGATATCTCTGACCAATGCGGAGAGCTCCAAACTCGTGAGYGCCCKGCGCTTTCCCTTSTKGGTGGGATCATCTATCTGTGCCTTTGTCATAAGMRTGAGAAAATTCCCCAAAAGTGTCCGCCKACCTTGCACAAGGTTCTGGCATTCTCTGTTGATGAATGTGAGGTTCTTCTGCAGTCTGTACCGCTTTGTTCCCGGGATTCGCGCTGACAATGCGATCAGCTTRCGGAGCAGCTTTACATCATGCACTTGCRATGACAAGATATCAATCAAGTCCAAGCCCGCACGCAAGTTGTAACTGTTCAAGTCTGCAATCAGTGCGTCCATAAGCGCCTTTTCTTGTCCAGTGCTATGTTCTTGCACTCCGAACTGGATGCCCAACGCTGCTTCCGCAATGGTGTCAATTGAAAATGCATGGAACCAATCGGAAATCTCAACCTTCTGACCTGGCGAGACACTCTTCAGCTTCCTTGTCAGAACTGACGAGGTCCGCTGCATGATCCCCACAAAAGTCTTCAACTGTGCTGAATGGAACAGCGGTTGGGCCGCTCCTCGGACACTCGTCCAATACCTGCCACTGCAAAGTTGAACACACAATCCCAGAGAATGTGGCATTAATTACAATCAACAAACCCTGGCCCAAGACATCTGTCCCCATCCCTGCCCCCCCCCCCCCCCCNCCCCCCCCCCTTGCTCAGTAAATCCCATGAGGACCACGGTAATCAATGCTGGCAGGATATCATCCCACATTTACAATGTTCTCAGGGACGCGGGACCCGGTTTCCAGCAGGTGTTGCTTCCCACCAACAGATGAAGCCTCTCCGGGGGTGCTAGGGGTGTCTGCTCCTATCAGCATCCCTAGCATCAGCAGGGACTGTTAAGTGAAAGAAAAAAAAAAAGTACACTGGACGCACCAACCAACTGACAGTTCTTTTGAACAAGTTATGCTTACTCAGTCTCTTTCCTGCTAGGCTGTTTGTCCTGCTCGCCATGCCATTTCGCCGGGTTTTGCACAGCTAGGTCTGTTTCCCCTGGTTTGCCACTCCATTTCCAGCATTCCCTGGGTTCCAGGAGACCCCAGTTTTTCGGAACCGGCCTCCGAGTCTGTGGGCCCAATAAGATTCAAAGACTCTATGGCATTGGAACTTTTGGGTTAACACAGGTCCCTGCACAGTTAGCTCGTCCAGTATGTAGTCATGTCTGAATTCAAATAGTAGGGCAATCTGGATTCTTAGGGCCAGGCCCCAGAAGTGCTATGTTCATGCTAAGAAAGATGAACCGGGACAAGTGTAGGACTATGCATGAACAGGAGAGACCAACGAGCACCAACGGGTAAGTAATAATGTTCGCCCATATGCCGCACGACCCCCATTGCGCACAGGCCAGAGCACACAAACATGCAAAGATGTGCAGTTGAAGTGCAATCTTGTCAGAAAAGTCTTGAAGCCTGCGTAACCTCCATAGGGCACTCGTCGTGCGCCCATCAATGATGTCGAGGAAGACGTGAGYGCTGGAAGGGAGGCAAAGAAGAMRTGCGYRAGGATATCATGAGTTATCATGGGGGAATTGACGGAGACAAGATGGCAGAGAGACAAGAGTRAAAGCACAATTGAAAGGAGGGATCATGCACACAGCAAGAGTTACAAGAGATAAGACGACCAGACCAGCGGGAACCATTACCTGCTCAAGCACCCAAGAAGCGGGAACGTTTCGGTGGGAAGCTTCGTGCTTCCTAATTTTACGGCTTACCTAGTCTAGTAGACTAGTAGTCCTTTTTGAATGGTGATTCCCTTTCAAGTAGGCGATCAAGTAAACGAGAACCTACCGCTCTACCATCGAATTCTATTGTTGATTTCGGGTACTAGCAAAACCAGCCTCGTTTGTCCGTGACGATCCAAATTAGGCTGAACTACGGTCCAATATTAGCATTCTTCATCATCTGCCTGTCATTGAATTCGTTCGCACCTGATTAGCTTTTACTGTTCCCTTTTGGTCGTCAGTTTTCTTGTCCTCCAAGGACATCTACCTTCCTTTCAAACAGCAATTCGATCCGGGAAGTTGGAGATTTTACGTCCGTCATTTGAAAGGCTTGTGCTCCAAAGGCTTTTTTCGAAGAAATTCCTCAAAGGAAATTGGGCTCCACAACAATTTCTCTTCTTTTCACATGTGAGGTGAATTGGCCGCCAAGGAAATGGAAGGAGACCCCACTGGCGCCCCCCAGTGGCTCCCGCCGGTTTCCAGGCCTGGCCAAGGGTTAGGAGAAAAGTATAGGGGCTGCTACCGTAGCTTTCTGAGCAGGATTTGGCATCCGGCAAGATGGATGAAGAGGCAGACCCCTGGTTTGATCTAGGTAGACGAAGGCATGGGACGTTTGACCAATTTCCAGCAGCGATGGTTTCTCTGCTCATTTGACGCTCATGTGTTTCTCAGCACGTGCAAAAAAAAAGAAAAAAAAGAAAAAAAGCATGTGCTGGTCCCCACGAAAAGATTGGAGCCGAAAGAGTCAGTGTACTTGGGTAGGAGGGGAACCTGCGTTGCGGCGGCGCTCGAGCGCACTAGGCACGCAGCGTCGGATATCACGTTAGGGTTTGCTATCGAGGACGATGGCCAACCGCCATGGCCCGAGGCGCTAAGCACGGGCAAGGCGGCTGCGCCGTATAGCATGTAATCGGGCATGGGACCTGATGCTTGCACTTACGGACCGGACTGTAACCCGACAAGTGGATGTGGCTGAGGTCTGGGCTAAGGAGCTCCGCATCGATTACACCGAACGGAAGAACCGAAGAACGCGTCCTGCGCGTCCTTCTCATGGATGGTAGGGATTGAATATAATCCCGTCCGCGCCTTTTCTCAAAGGGCGGTTTTTTCGGAGAGGAATGGACTGGTCGGCACGTGAGCCATATCAGGAAAGAGGAGCGAGCGCCCCAAGTGGAGTGGGGGTATCGTTTCTTTCTTCCCATCTTCCCCCCCCCCCCCCCCCCCCCCCCCCCCCCCCTCATTTCCCCCTAGCGGTGCTTGTGCCTGTGACCGGAGCCTTGGGTCTGTGATATGTCTCCTTTCTGATTTATGATTCTAGACGT